AGTGTGTGTTGGTGCGATGTCAGTTCAGAACCTCCGTTCTGGAGAAGCAAGTCTGAGTGGGAGATGATGTTTTGCTCCTAACTGATCAACGTTTGAACCGTGGTCATAAAAACACATGAGACGACATTTATGTCACTCTACATACCCTTCAGTGAGACTCCCGTACGGATCAGGATGCCAGGTCCACGGACCCTCCTCTGGTACTGGAGCCGATGAAACAGCGTCGACAGCACGACAAACCAGTCTTTGGATAGTCTCCAGGTAAAAAGCGACAGGTGTTTCACAGCGTCAAAAGGGACCCCCCTTTGGGTCAGCGGGTTCAGCTTTTATTCTGAAGGAACCGTTGTTTTGTTGATAACAACGACAGGATTTCCCAGCTTGGCAGTTCTAGCTTAAAAAGGGAAGTATAGATGGCCTGTCCATACTTCACTTAGCATGCGATGAACATCAGGGGATCTTGAGATCTGGCTGAATACTGAACTTAAAATGGCATTGGGCTGTTTTATTAATCTTGATGTCTATGATTCTGGACGAATCACAGCTGACAGATTAAATAAACACCACAGAGACTCTGCCACGCTTCAGACGTGAAGGTTCTGATTGGATTTGCGACAGGAATGTGTCATGTGATTATTTACTTTCGTGTATCAGCGTGTCTAGTGGCTAGAATAAGTCATTTACTTATTAAAACATATTAATCATAACATTGTGATTTCACAGATCAGTCACATGGTTATTATTGACTAACAGTTGTTTTGATTAGCTTTTATTGAAAATAGAGTTCTTTGGTTTTTAATAAAAGATAAGAAAGCAGTCTTCATCTTCTGTCTTCATCGCTGGAATGTAAACAGTTTAGAAGTGAATGCATGACCTTGAGGCTGTTTCATACACTCTGGCGCTGCGTCAAAAGGACTGTGGAAAAGATTAAATGATCTTGGTTGGAACAGCTCCTTCATCACGTTATAGACGACAGCGCAAACATCTTTGTTTAGAAGAAAGGCTTTTAGCGCTTCTACTTGTTGTGGTTTTAAAGACATGTTCAAATCATTTAGAACAGAGGAAAAAGCCGCAGCGAATCCCGCTTCAGTCGCCATGTTTATGACAAACTTGGCGTTATGGTGTGTGATGTACGATACTCAGAGCTGATTGGCTCGGTTAAAATTCTCACGGGGTGGGGTTATTTGAATAGGAGAGTTCCCAGACCCTTTCTCTGTGCAGAATTAAACAGAGGAGGAGTCTGGCAGGCCAGGCTAGTACTTACCTGACCCTTCCCCAACTCCCCTCTAGGCTCAACAGAGTGTCAACAGAGCCACTGCCTCAGAGTGTGCAGCAGCATCAGAACTACAGTAAAAGACAAAAGATTAAAAGGGGAAGTTAAACATAAAAATAGATTCAGCTAAGTCATGGGTTTGTCTTGCTTCAAATCATGAACAAAGCTAAGATCACAACTTTTCAAAATAACTTTGTGTGGATTCTGCAAAACAAACCTGTGCAGATTAAGGGGACACATTATGCTAAACCCACCTTTTGTGATGCCTCTATGAACACTCTAAATGTGAAAAGAATCCATCCATCTTTTTTCTGTTAGTCTTTAGTTTTAGGAATTATGTGTATAAAACAAGCCATTTCAAAATGTCTCTTGTTATGACAACACAATCGGGGACATTAGCATAGAACCACCTCTCCCTTCTCAAGGCTGGAGGAGCAGGAGCTGTACTCCTAGCCCCTCCCAGATATCAGAGCTTCTTGGCTCATTGCAGCCTAAAGCTTGGTTTATGCTTGACGCATTTACTTTCCGCTTGGTGATGCGGCTCGCGGATGGAACGCGCTTCACAACTCGCAGCGTTTATGGTTCATGCGGCTTGTCTCTGCGGTGAGCCAATATTCTCCCAAACTGAACGGGGCAGCATGGAGCTCTACGGCATGCATCCAACACTACACCATAGTAGAAGTAAAAATTACTGTTTACAACATGGCATTCCAGAATTTTTTAACAGCGTTCTCGTCTTTTCCGACAGTGCGAGCTATTTCTCTCCAAGAGTTATTAAGAGTTGATCACGGTGATCTCTGAGAGCTGAATCATACAAATGTCTGTATTTACAAACCTCTGCCATACTAGTTCTTGCCAGGCCGCCATGTTTTTCCGCGTCCGACCGTCCGCGTGGTTAGAAAATTTCCTCGGTGCGCGGCGCAGAAAGTTTGGGCCGTGCGGAGGCGCGTGGTTGTTAAAATGACGCAACTTTTCCGCGCGGAGCCGTGCTGACCTCGCGGACGCGTCAAACATAAACCAACCTTAAGCAGGGATAGGTGGGCGTGGCCAGCTCCAGCTTGTTTTCTTAAAGTGACAGAGCCCTGAAACGGCTCATTCTGGAAGGTACCGAAACTGAAGAATAAAACTTCTGAAATATCTTCACGTGAGAAGGATTTTGTGCAAACTTCATATACATGTTTTGTATAAATTAAAGATAACTTTAAAGCAGTTCTAATACGTTCCTCTTTAGATAAAAAGTTCCACGCCCTTACCATAAACATACACGAGCTGCACTAAGAGGCACTGGGAGAAACAAAACTTCTACCATTGTCATCACAAACAACAGTGTAATGACAGATCCTGGTAATAAAATGTGTGGAAAACAGTTTAGAGTGTTTCTAAACTTAAAATGCTCTGAAAGACTACCTCACTTAGATATGATCGGATTGGTTCCAGTATGGGATTAGATTTGTGCCAATAGGATCAAGAAAAACACTTTGGAGAGCAAACAAATTTTAAGACATTGAGACAAAAAACATTGGTTTCAAAAGAAAAACTTACGATCTGAATCAGATTCTTAAAATGATCAAGAAAAACACTTTGACAGTCAAGCAAAAATTAAGAAATTGACAGAACAAAAATATTGACTAAAGGAAAAAAACATGTTTCAAAAGTAAAACTTACTACCTGAATCAACTTCTTAAAATGAGTAACAAAGTATGTTTCCTTTTTCTGTTTGCCTCTATGTGTTTTTGTTATCAATTTCCTTAGTTTTATTATCTAAATGATTTTAAACAGTTTAACAGAACTAACTCTCTAATGATGGATGCTTGAGGAATGGAATGTGAGGTGAAGTGTGTGCTTTGCTCTCACTACCAGATTTGCACTTACGCTGTCTGGCTTTCTCCTTTGCAATCCCTGAGTTTTTGGTTGCAATTCTGACACAACCCTTTCGGGTGGGCGGGACTTCTGAGAAGTCCTCTCCCATAGGACAGTGGTTTCTCTGAGTGACAGTTCAGTGACCTGGAAGTGATGTAGCCTCCCAGACATTTTTTTTCCACTTGGTCAACAACATGAATTTTGAGCCCCAAACAGGTTATTTCTGCTGTATGTGGTGTCTACTGAGGGTCTAAAGTGAGTATTGATAATATATTTTATCTTTTCTTAGTTAATCTGTAAGTTAAGCCACTTTTTAAGTTGGTTTTAACCAGACGCTAGCTCACTAGCTAGCTACTAAGCAAGCCATTGTGCTAGCCTCAGGACAATGGTCTACTGTTCCAGAGAGACGTATTAAAAACTCATCTTAACATATTCATTACTGGTTTCATGGAATAAATTTTTACAGTTTATGTTAATAAGTTTGCTAATTTTTCAGGAACCTGTGGAACATCAGAGACTTTGCAGCTATTAGAGCTAACCTGTGTACTGCTAACTTGCTACAGAGGAAGCAGCAGAAAGCTGAGCTAACAGGCTGTTTTGCAGGTAAATACTCTTTTAGTGGAACTGCAGTACTTTTATGGTATAACTCGGAATCTACATGAGCTATTGTGGGAAGACTTTTAAACTACATTTTTATACAGATACATGTATTTTTTATTCCATGTTACTTGGACGGACTAAACAAGTTCATAGTTCTGCCTGCTCCTTTTTCAGTGAAACGAATGGATTATAGTAACCATAGTCTGGTGACTAGTGTCTAGTTTAGCTACATTTAGCTCAGCTGGAGTAATATAGTCTAACTCTGCCTCAACTGGTGACTTTTCTACTTCATTGTCAGCCAGACAAAATGTTGCTACAAACGCCCAAAGTACTGACCCCACAATTGAAAATCATAATGTCCACATTTATTTCCCACAATCTCAAACGTCACACTAAAATTAAACTTTTAGCTCTGATTTAATTATTTCCTTATTGATATCAGTTTTCCCTTTGTTGTAGGTAATCTTCGGATGTCAGCAGGAGGAGGTGACTACCTGCATTACGGAGCACCCTGGTTCTGAGCCAGTTGCACCTTTGTGCTGCTCTTTGGGGAGGCAATGCTCAGCAGGCTAAACAACTGTAAAATTGATTTTGTTCGTAGTTTTACTTTAGATCTCATACATCACCAGTTTTTCTTTCTTACAGACACATGCCTCCATGTGGTCAGGTGGTGTTGGTGTGATCTGGGAGGGCACACTCATGTCATCATCTCCTTGTGCCGTCTCCAGGATCCTGATGGGAGTTCTCTGTGCCTATAAAGCAGGGGTATTTACTTCTGGGCCTGGAGGGCCGGTATCCAGCACACTTTAGTTTTAACTCTGTTTCAACACACCTGATTTCAGTCCGCAGATAATTAACAGGCTTCTGCAGAGCTGCTGCACAGGTAATTCAACCACTGATTCAAGTGTGTTGGACCAGGGAAACAACTAAAACGTGCTGGATACCAGCCATCCAGGACTAGAATTGAATACCCCTGCTATAAAGCCTTCCTCCCTCCTCCGGACTTTAAACATTAGTATTTCATTATGGTTTACCTGATTTAGTAAATAAATCTCAATTTATAAATTTCCTGTTTTGGTGCCTGTCCATAAAATCCTGCATTAGATACTGAAAGCTGAATGGATGCCTTTCATTCACTTTGACATTCAATGTATTTTTAAAGATATACTTGAAATTAATATCAGCTGTTTAACAGAGTGGTGCAAAGTAATTGCTGATGTCATGATTTTTGCAACAACCTGACCTTCATGCAGAGAAACTCAGGAGACAATTGAGCTAAAAACAGTTTATTAAAATGTTTGACGGATGACTGAAGAGGTAACAGCTGGAGATCAGGAACCAGAAGCTTCTGCGAGGAAGAGCAGAGGTTAGTAAGAGGCAACAGGTCAGGTTTTTCTTAGACTGTGCAGGTAGCTTACAGAGACTGAGAAACGCCACAGAGATGGAGCCACAGGTTTTAGTGTTTAAAGATCAGAAGGCCCTGAGGTAAAATTGAGTGTTAGTAATGACTAAAGAGAGACTTGCAAAAGGAAAAGTTTAGGTACTTACGGTCTGAAGTTGTAGCGCAGACGGGAGACAGCAGAATGGTGGAGAAACAACCAGAAGTCTGGGAGAATGACAGCATGAGTTGCAAGCGGGTGAGCAGAAGGTTGTGGGTAAGCCGACTGCCAGTATGGTTGTGTGATCAGGAGCTTCAAGGAAAGAATTTCCATAGATCTACATAGAACATGAGAACGTAAGTTTGAAAAACGGCAGAGTCATGGGCTAGATATGGGTTAAAACACTCTGATGAGTGACCAGCTACCAGCTTTTATTCAAGGATGGGGTTACAGGTGTGTGAGGATGTGCCTGCCCCATGAGAAGAGTTTTTAGGTAAGCCTCTCCATGGTGCTCTGCAATGGTGACTAGCAAGGCTAAGGAAGAGATTAAAGGGAACACAAACCCAGGACTCCGACCCAAACTCCTAACAGCAACACAACGACTCCTCCCACAGGCGGTTGTTCCACGGAGCACGCAGCTGCCCGAAGTTCAGCATCAGGCAACCTGTAGGCGATGTAATCATACGTGGCTTCTGAGCATGCAAGTTTATTCTAACTGTACAGCGTACAATAATAATAAAGATTTATATTGTGTTGTGTTGCTCACCTTACAGGTTCTTTTAAAATCTTAACCTATGCCTGCTTACAGCAGGTCTTTCAGGTCTTTTGAACTAGACACAGAGAGGTTCAGGCACAGGTACTTAGTCAGACTCCTGATATGATAGAGCATCCACCACCACGGACTCCTGATATGATAGAGCATCCACCACCACAGACTCCTGATATGATAGAGCATCCACCACCACAGACTCGAACAATAGGTCCATATGCTTGTCAACTGGAAACAATGGAAAAAGATTACCATTAGTACAGATATTTATCCATAACCATCACTGTGGGTTTATTATACAGCATATGAACTACATGAGGTGGGATTGGTCTGCAGTAGGGCTGTGTATTTTTGACAGAATTTATTGTAGGAATATTCAATAAACAGTCCAAACTGATACTTAACATATATAACATGAGTTATCTGGACCATAATAGCGAGATTTAAATTTCAATGGTGGAAACAAAACCCAATGCACACTGCTGCCAACTAGCGGGCGACATTTAAAGTGCACCAAAAACAAATAAAATACACAAATGTTTGCATGTAAATTCTTCCAAAAATTAGATACACTGCTTCTGAAAATGGATGTAATATCTCAGGAAAAAATATCACGATATATTGCCATATCGATATTTTAGAGACACAGTTTGAGAATATCGATACAATATTACTGGGAAAATATATCGCAATATATTGTCATATTGATATTTTCTTACATCCCTTGTCTGCAGTGTACTTTGTGTACACTATGGTGTGTCTTAGCTCACCAGCTGCAGTTGATGCATGTGGCTGTGTAGCACTTCCATTTTAATGCAATGCAGTAGTTTTCAATCTAAAAAGAAAGAATAAATAAATAAAAAATAGCTTTTAGACAAAAATATAGATTTTATGTAAAAATTAATTAAAAGCATGTATTTAACTCATTATAGATTATCTGCCCTGGATAACATTCTTTTGATGGAGAATACAGAGCACGTGACAGAAAGCACATTGAATCTGACTTGTCTTGTTCTGACAAACAAATGTCAGATCTGTATACTGGAAAGAAATGTATTATCAAACACACTCACTTAGATAATTATTCAGTCAGAGTTACATCATAAAATCCATTCGTTTCACTGAAAAAGGAGCAGGCAGAACTATGAACTTGTTTAGTCCATCCAAATAACATGGAATAAAAAATACATGTATCTGTATGTAAATGTAGTTTAAATGTCTTCCCACAATAGCTCATGTAGATTCTGTCTGAGTTATACCATAAAAATCCTGCAGTTCCACTAAAAGAGTATTTACCTGCAAAACAGCCTGTTAGCTCAGCTTTCTGCTGCTTCCTCTGCAGCAAGTTAGCAGTACACAGGTTAGCTCTAATAGCTGCAAAGTCTCTGATGTTCCACAGGTTCCTGAAAAATTAGCAAACTTATTAACATAAACTGCAATAATTTATTCCATGAAACCAGTAATGAATATGTTGAGATGAGTTTTTAATACGTCTCTCTGGAACAGTAGACCATTGTCCTGAGGCTAGCACAATGGCTTGCTTAGCAGCTAGCTAGTGAGCTAGCGTCTGGTTAAAACCAACTTAAAAAGTGGCTTAACTTACAGATTAACTAAGAAAAGATAAAATATATTATCAATACTCACTTTAGATCCTCAGTAGACACCACAGACAGCAGAAATAACCTGTTTGGGGCTCAAAATTCATGTTGTTGACCAGGTGGAAAAAAAATGTCTGGGAGGCTACATCACTTCCAGGTCACTGAACTGTCACTCAAGAGAAACCACTGTCCTATGGGAGAGGACTTCTCAGAAGTCCCGCCCACCCGAAAGGGTTGTGTCAGAATTGCAACCAAAAACTCAGGGATTGCAAAGGAGAAAGCCAGACAGCGTAAGTGCAAATCTGGTAGTGAGAGCAAAGCTGTGAGCAGCGAGAACAAAACTAAGGAAATTGATAACAAAAACACATAGAGGCAAACAGAAAAAGGAAACATACTTTGTTACTCATTTTAAGAAGTTTATTCAGGTAGTAAGTTTTACTTTTGAAACATGTTTTTTTTCCTTTAGTCAATATTTTTGTTCTGTCAATTTCTTAATTTTTGTTTGACCGTCAAAGTGTTTTTCTTGATCATTTTAAGAATCTGATTCAGATCGTAAGTTTTTCTTTTGAAACCAATGTTTTTTCTCTCAATGTCTTAAAATTTGTTTGCTCTCCAAAGTGTTTTTCTTGATCCTATTGGCACAAATCTAATCCCATATTCCAGGCTGTTTTTGCAGAATGCTCCTGGGTTGAAACAGATGCTAACGTGTTATCTTCCCTCTGCCACAGAGTTTCTGTCATATTTTTATGTTACTTTTGGAGTAAGTTCAACTTCTTACATTGGCTGGTGGTGAGCTAAGTCTGAGTGAAGCCTCTCTTCTTGGACTCCGCTCATGTTTTCAGTGCAGAATGGAATTCCTCCACAGGGCTGCAGAGAAACGACTGTGAGCAGCGGTCTCTTTATATGGTTCTGTCAGAGTAACTCTGCCTGACCACAAAACAAAGAGAATAAAGAAAATAATAAACAATCTTCACACCAAGGTTGCTGTAACTGGGCCAGTTCCAGTAGTGTCTAAATCGATATACATGTCTTCATATTTACCAGCTCTGGTTGAGAGAAGCGCCATAAAAAGAGGTTTTAGAATCTCTATTAAAAGTGTTCCTTCTCATGATGCTTTCTTTACCCTCCTTTTGTTTTCACCAGTTACACCTTCATCAGTACAAATCAGCTTTTATCACAGTTATTGGCAATCAAAGCCCATTTAAATTTCTAAGACAGAATTTTTACTAAACAAATTAATTAAAAACATAACCGATAGACGAAATGAGACGCAGCTCTGAGTCAGACAATCAGACCAGAATATCTGGACACTGAAATACTCAGTTCCTCCTTCTATTTGTGAAGAGCTTTATGTGGATGTGTAGGACCGTTGTCTTGCTGGGAAAAACAACTTTCTTCCAAGCTGTAGTTTCCCTCTAGACCACTAGCTCTCAACCCTGGTCCTTGAAGGACGGTGTCCAGCATGTCTTCATTGTTCCTCTACTCCAGCACACTTGATTCAGTGGAAAAATCATTTGTGCAGAAGCTAATCAGGCTGGCAGGTGGGTCTCATAGTCTTAGATCAAGTCGATGAAGATAAAGTTCACAATTAATGTTGTATAAAAGCTGTTAGTGCTTTTTAAAATTAAAAACAATTTTGTTTGACAAACGGTAGATAATAATAAATAAATGTTGGTTCATTTAAGTACTTTGCTTTAAGGTGGCTGAAAGATGCATCAACATGCAACAATAATGATTTTAAAACAGCATCTCAGCCCTGTGAATCAGAATCCCATCATGAGGTGCTTTTAGGTTTCCACCCACCCACTCAGCCTCTGTAGCGGAGCCTGCAGCATTGTGCAGCAGCACAATCAGCATGGCTGGTGACGGGGTCAAGAGGTAACACAGGAAGTGGGAGAGCTGAATTCTCTGAGACACAAACTCTGCTTACTCATTTGCTGCCTTGCATGACTCCCAACACATGTATTTCCAATGAACGATAAAAGAAAGATGTATTATTTTCATCTCTTCACCACTTTTTTAGAGATATTGTGTTTTGCTGCATTTAGAGTATTTTCAGAAAAAACTTATTCCTTATCGATCCGTGCAGAATCTGATTAGGAATGGTTGCATCTCCAGGAACACAAGTCTGGAGGAGCCTCTGCCGTGTGGTTGAGTTGCTAATGCTAACGGTTAGCTTCTGCTAGCCGAGGCAGCTCAATGCTGTTTACTAGATGCTAAAACAACTACAGCCTTCCCCGTTGCGAGCCAAGATGGGCGAGTCCACGAGTGTTGTGACAGTGTGACACAGATCTGTCATTTTCAAATCCTAGAGTTTCACAGTCTATTTTCTATCAGGAGCTAAAGCAGGAGATAGGTGTAGGAGATAGGGCTGCTCGATTATGGCAAAAATAATAATCACGATTATGATGACTGAAATTGAGATCACGATTATTTAGGACGATTTTTCAATTTATGTTGATTTTATTTGTTTTTATTCAGTCATAAAACTGCTCAGGGCACAATCAGGACAAAAATAAGAAACAAGATGATCACTAAAATAACTCCTGATTCCCAGTATAAAAAGACCAATATACTTATAGCTCATAGTCTATGACCCAAGGGCTATAGACCTTGGTTTAACTCATTTAAGTCTAACCAGTACAGACCCAAATACCAATATCTTGCAAATACTGACAGCAAGAATTATACAGTGGCATTTATAACAAATAAATGCAAATAAATTGATGTTCACAAAATGTTGCGTAACATTTACTGAGTCGTGTCAAGGTGCTGTAGGAGCGTGCACTAGCACCGTGTCCTCAGCGAGATTAGTTATTAATTATCAGCGTGAGGAATTTATTTCTACCTTATTTATAAACTATTTATTTACAAGTCCATCAGTTAATGTAATAATTGTCCCAACCACAGCTGCACCCCCCACCCCCCAACCCGGTGTCGGTACAGTATCTGCTCGGGTGCAAGATCGGCTCGGGGTCCTTCGACTGCCGATGACGTCAAAGTACGGCAAACCGACTCGGACAAAATACACTACACGTCTATACTGTTGGAAAGAATTTAGCACTTTCGTTATTAAAATAACGTTTCTTAAGATGTAAGTTTGTGTTTATAATGGTATTTGTAAAATAAAACACTATATCTTATTCATAATGTTGAACTCCTCTTTGAGCACATCCCTTGAAGAATCATAGGTATTAGCAACACCTGTGAAATTTGCAGGAAAGAAGTGTGTCCCGTTTATTTAAGTATTTTGTGCTTAGAGTTTTTGACATCTTGTCATAGACTGTAGCTGCTAGCCAAAACTCTGGAGTTAAAAGTTTTCTGGCTTTACTAAAAAACCTGTCTGTACTTATTTGATTGATGGTATTTTTACTTTCTATTAGACTCCAAATGTAATCATTTGGCACGTTTGTAATTCATTATTTGCAATAATGTAATCGGCGATATTAGCATTAGCATTCCTATGGGTTTTTCCATGTATATTAGCATTGCGCTAACCACTCGCTGCCAAATTGCAGCCTTTGAGATTAGAAAATCTCCTGGCTTTACTAAAATACCTGTCTGTACTTATTTGATTGATGGTATTTTTACTTTCTATTAGACTCCAAATGTAATTATTTGGCACGTTTCTAATTCATAATTTGTAATAATGTAATCTGCGATATTAGCATTAGCATTCCTATGGGTTTTTCCATGTATATTAGCATTGCGCTAACCACTCGCTGCCAAATTGCAGCCTTTGCCATTAGAAAATCTTCTTTTGTCACATCGCAATTTCATTGCACATGCAGTTAATCGTTCAGCCCTATTATACTTGCAGCTCTATGCTAAAAGTGTATTTTCAAAGAGGTAATGATGGATTTCTTTGTAAAAGTTGTCCATCTTTCCAATAGAAAAAAATTTGCCTGGACCAACGTCACGTGATAACAACGTTACGTGATTACGTAATTCCGTAAGGTCATGTTCAGCCAATCAACTACTTAGACGTCATCGGCAGTCGACGGACCCGAGCCGATCTTGCACCCGAGCAGATCTTGTACCGACACCGGTCTCACAGCAATCGGGGCAAGCTGCACGTGTGTTTAGCACGCTGCACGCGCACATTTAGCTGTTTTTAGTGGCTCAGGAGTCCGCAGGTGCGGTGTGTGTGTCACTCACTCTGGTTACTCCAACAGGGAGCCGGCTCCGAGAGCTGTTTCTTTAGCGACCGACACATCACTGCATCATTCCCTTTCCTAATGTTGTGAAGAACGGTCCGGAGCACAGGCGGAGTGTTTAGCTAACTTGCAGGAAATGTCGACGACAGTTATCCAGAAAGTAGCTAAGGGTTACCAGAGATGTTTCTGAGATGTTCGCCAGGTACTTTTAGGATTAAAAAGTCAAGAAGGGGGTTTGAAAAGCTGCTAGAAATAGCGTCAAAGTCGCTAAG